TTTTAATCCTTCATTTTTCTATTCAAGATTTATGTGATTTATTTATTTATGTGTTAATTTTATTATGAGTTTAATGCATTAAATTACCTGATCAATAATTTGATAATTATGTGAGTCTCTTACGAATCGAGAGGTGAGTTTGAGATTTAGACCATATAATAAAATTCGATAAATTAGTATAACATGTAGAGATGTCTATACTAATATTGCGGTCATAATATGAATTTTTAGAACTAGTATTTCATTTAATTACGATTGATTTGCATAGAGATATGAAATTGAATTAGTTAAATAGGTTCAATGAAAACTCGAGATGGGTAAATTGAATACAATAGAATAATTCGATTGAATACTACATTAGGTTATGAATATTGAACTAAGAATAAATGTGATCAATAGATGAAATTGTTTTGCAATAATATTCATCACGTATTTGAATTTTGAATTATCCGTTGTTTGTAATTATTTTATATTTTCAATTAGTTAAAAGTAGTTAGGAAAAAATAAACAGAATCATCATAAATATTTACTTGCTTTTGTCAAATAGGAGTTAAGAAAAATTAGATTAAGTTCTAAATATAGTTCTCGTGGGAATGAAAATTCGGACTCAAAGATCCACTATATTACTTGTTACGATATCATACACTTGCGATATAAAAAACGTATCATATACTCTTTTTTCTTTTGTCCACATTTTGTCCCACTGAATGTTCCTGAAAATGTTTTAATTGGGTAATACATTGATACTCCGAATTCTTTTATAATCAACTGTACTATTTTTTTCCTCAGTTTAATAAAAGAAATTTCCTCTTGGTTTTTTCCAAAAATAAAGTTTTTAATGTGACAATTCTTGTGTAGATAATCATTCAAGGGAAAGATTTGTAAATAAATTATTATATACAAATAACTGTTATATCACTATAGCCATAATACTTATCTATTAGTATAGAACTTTAATTCACAATAAAATATACAAGTGTACCATCTCTCTATGTTATTCTATTTTCTCTATAATTTAGAACAAATATGCTAGAATTAGGGTGTGACATGAATTCTCTTTGAAAGATTAGTTGAGAATTCTAGTTGAAGTTTATTTGGGAGTTCGATTATAAGTTGGTGATTTGTGTTGGACAAAAAGAACATTTGAAGGAGTCCAAGTTGTAATAACAGAGGAAAAAAACATGCAAGAAGAAGAAAACGGTGAGCCGACGCTCGCTACTCTCCTTAATCCCGCTCAAGTATTTAGAACGAGTTAAGTGTTCGCTATCTGCTAGGAGGCCACTTGAGTGGTTGACCATCGCTTGACAGTCGGCGGCAGTCTCATCGGAATATTGAGCAGTTCTCGATTTTGGCATATTTTTAAATTTTATTTTATCATTAACATTCCAATATTGTATAGACTTGTTATAATTGAAGTTCACCACATCTTAGGCTCTTCTTTGTACTATATATATGAGGAGTAAACCTCTAGAAAAATCAATCATTACATTCTACATAATAATTTGTAATCCTCCATTATTGATATTTATAAATCCTCATCTTGTGCTCGTGAATCTTTTTTAATGTAAATCTTGTGTACTTGTTTGATTTTCATATTGCCATTTATTCTCTTCCTTTATTTATTAATCGAGTGGCATCAGTTCAATACATAATTTTTAACAAAATAATATTGCTTTTTACCCAAAAAAGGTTATACCATTTGGTTGTTAAACTATTATGTTTATTGACTTTAGTCCCCGCCAATACAATGGAAAAAAAATGCTAGTTGCAATCTCTTGTTTCTTCTTTTTCTAAATATTGCTTCTACAAATTTTATTTATATTTGAATATTGTTCTCAAATATGGATCTCGTAGATATTTGCTAAATTAAAATTGTGATATAATTAAACTGATTTCTGGAAATGACTCCTAAACTTGAGATAAACGATGTTTTAGAATTATTTATCATATAAAACTTAAATACATCGTTATCACTATCTTTAAAAACTATTTTTATATTCTCTCTTATCAAACAGAATAATTATTAAAATAAACTCATTTTTAAAACAAGTTGTACTCTAAATTTCTTAAAAATTTAATAGGTACGGCAGTTGTCTTATGTACGGCCAATACAAGACCAAGTTGCCAGTAAGCTTCAAACCTCATGCAAAACACATTCCTGCCTTAAGCTTACCACTCTCAATCGGCCCCAAACACACGCTGGCATATTTATATTCAACGCACCCTGATACATGTGTACCAATTAATCAAGTTGTACAAAATTTGTTGACAAAATAAGTGTGGCAGGATCTAGACCATTGATTTCAAAAACTTTTTTCGAAATTATTCACCTAGATGCTGCCAACACATAGATTGTCAACTTACTTTGTACACATAACATGATTCTACCTATATATTTAATTTGACATTTTGGCTGACGTTCTATAATTTGGCATGCAATTTAGCCATTGATTTGAATGACACTTATTTAAATCAATGACTAGATTTTTAATGCATCATAGAATGTACATCAAGGTGTCCAAGATGAACGTACAATGAGCTTAATTAATTTATTGGTTGCTGCCATTATTCTTTATCAAAACTGACCTTAGCGGGAGGGCTATTTCATGCCATTCCCCGCCGGGATTTAGCCGTTGACTTCTTGTAGATTATTATACTATAATTAATACTCCTCGATGATGAAACAAAATTCTATATATAGGCTTCAACATAACAGAAAAATAAAACAAATTGAGAAAAAAAGAAGATCACATAGCTAGCAAGAAGATCGAAAAAGAGAGTCAATGGCTTCCAAACTCTTGAAAATCATCTCCATCTTCTTCCTCTTGATTTCCATGTTCACAGTACAAGTTCTCTCGGTAGTGGAAGAGTGCGGTGAGGAAGAAGAAAACGGCTGCGTGGACAAGAAGAAAGCCTTGCCACTCAAAATTATAGCCATTGTATCCATTCTTGTCACGAGCATGATTGGAGTGAGCTTACCCCTCGTAACGCGCTCAATTCCGGTCCTCAGTCCGGAAGGAAACCTTTTTGTGATTGTTAAGTGTTTCGCCGGAGGTATCATTTTGGGTACTGGGTTCATGCATGTTTTACCAGATTCATTCGACATGTTGTCGTCCAGCTGCTTGAAGGAAAATCCATGGCACAAGTTCCCTTTCACCGGATTTGTTGCCATGTTGTCTGCCATAATTACATTGATGATAGACTCAATGGCAACCAGTATATACACTAGGAAAAACAAAAATGAAGTTCTTCCTGAGTCTCAAGGTGATCAAGAGATGGCTGTAGTGCATACTGGGCATTCTCATGGTCACCATCACTATGGATCCAAACTTGATGTTGAGGGCTCACAACTTCTCCGTTATCGAGTAATTGCCATGGTAAGTAATTTTATAAATCCCTCTCTCTCTCTCTCTCCATATACATACGTATATATATGGAATTGATCTTCTAATCAACGATGAACCAAGTGCCATCATCTACTGTAGTGTGCTATGTCGCCCAGTACATCCAGCATGCATTAGTTTGTACATTAACAAATCATTTTAAATCAAACCGAGAATGGGCATAAAATAAAATAAAATTACTTGAAAAGAAACTGTCAAATTTTGATTTACCAATTGAACACACTTCCTCCTCGACCATATAACAAGTTATCCATTTATTATTAAATGAATTCTTGCCCTTTCAACATTAATTAAAAAAAGGACCAAAGAGGAATAAGATTATATGTTCTATTATTATCATTTGTCATATTGATTTTTTTCTTCTAATATTCAAGTGACCAAAGAAAATTTCTTAGGGAGGTCCTTAAATTAGTATTAATAATAATAAATAGATTAAATAATCACAATTGAATTTCCATTGATAATAAAAAATTATATAATTATCGATGATTAAAAATCAACATGTGATGGTGATTAAAAATATAATCTTTGATAAGAAACTCACCTCTGACAACAAATACTGATGGTCAGGTAATCGAAAAATAGTGACAATGCTCTACTACTGATCATTGATGGAGAAGCTTTTGGTGTAGCTGATTATTCTTTCCTTAATTTTTAATAATTTATTCAGTAATTTAAGACATCTTTTTATATTGTTTATTTATGATCTTATTAATGAAAAGTTATTTTCTAACCTTTATTCATTTCGTTGATTTGTGACACTGATTATTGATGTAAAATTTGTCGATGATGTCGTTAGAAATCATCGACAGTGCTCGGCTGTTGATCATTTATGGAGAAGCTTTTGGTGTTGCTGACAATTCTTTCTTAAATTTTTAATTTTTATATTGATAAATTATTAAACTCTATATGTTTTATACTTTTTTTCATAATTTTATTGACGGATATGTTATTTTTTAAATTTTTATTGATGTCGGTAATTCTCAAAAAATTCAATATATGTCGATTATTTGAAAAAAAGAAAAGAAAAGAAACACCATTAACATCAATACAAATCGATTATAACTGATGTATTGTCGTCAATTATTATTAACGACTACTGTATGCCTCCATGTTATATATAGAATGCAATTTTGTTTTTTTATCTAATTAAGGAAATAAAATAATTAATTCTAGCTTACTTGAATTATTTTTACAGGTTTTGGAGTTGGGAATCATTGTCCATTCAGTTGTGATAGGGCTTTCTCTTGGAGCCTCGAACAACACTTGCACAATCAAAGGACTTGTAGCTGCACTTTGTTTCCACCAAATGTTTGAAGGAATGGGACTTGGTGGTTGCATTCTGCAGGTTAATCATATATATACATGAACCCAGTTTTCCATAAAGCTATAAAATGAAAATAATTGCTTATTTTCAAGACTTAATTACTTAATTAGTTTCTTTCCACTACTGTCTTAATTAATACCCGTATGAGGTTAATGAATTTTAAAATATATGCAGGCTGAGTATAAGTTTATGAAGAAGGCTATAATGGCCTTCTTCTTCTCAGTAACAACCCCATCTGGAATTGCGATTGGCATGGCACTATCGACCACTTACAGAGAAAATAGCCCTCATGCTTTGATTACTGTTGGCTTACTTAATGCCTCGTCGGCTGGCCTTCTGGTTTATATGGCTTTGGTGGATCTTCTTGCTGCTGATTTCATGGGAAAAAAATTGCAAGGTAGCATCAAGTTACAAATCAAATCTTATATGGCTGTTCTATTGGGTGCTGGTGGGATGTCTCTCATGGCGAAATGGGCTTAGAAACAATGAAACTTTGCATCATCAAATAATAGTGTGCAAAAAATAATTTCGTTTCCAGTTTGTTTTTTATTTGAGTGAACCATGCTGCTGAGTACTTCTGAGTACAAGTTGATCGTTTTCATTTTCTTGATGTACATTTGTGGGGAAAAAATACTTTCTTTGCATTTTGCTCTTAGTTCATGCTTCACTAAGCTTGAAATTTTAATATAAATTACTTTTTCATTATCAAAGTTTTATTTATTTTGAAAATAATCACTATATACCATCAAAATACATAGCAACTTTTTACTTATAAGGTGAGAGGAATAAAGTGAATAACTTGAGTGCAAGGGACGACAAACCATTACTGCTAACAAGTGCCTACTTGAAAAGCAATTTCACAGTAAGTAGTCGAATTTAAGCCGAAAAAAGGGACAACGGACTATTTATTACACAAAATCAAAATATTTTTCCTTAAAAAGCAAGTGTATGGTGTCAAATTTTGTAAATATATGAATGGAGTTAGAGTTTCAAACCCACCACTAGGATTGTAATTTAATTTTATACTAAACACTGTAATTGTGATGAATTCTATTTTATCTAGATGAATGAATTTTTGAATCAATATTTTATCTAAAATAGGGATGATTGTGATGAATGCAATGAATAAACGTAAGTTTTAAGAATTTATCAATGGGAGAAAGTCTAGGTTTATGATTTCACCTAACTATCAAATATAATTTTAAAAAGTCTTGAATCAATTTTTCATGTTTATAAGTAAAAATCTTAATGTAGTTTTGCCCACTCTCGCAAGTTTCGAGTAAAAACTATTCCTATATTTTAATTTCAATATCTCTATTATGAATTAAAATTTAGAAATTATCAAGTTCATGGTTCTTAAGTGAAACACGCTTTAAAGATTCTATACTCTCTCCAAACATATAAATTTTAGGTTGTGTTATGGTGCTATGGCGCCCACTTTTGGGTAAAAATTCAGCATTGCATATCTTTCAATATTTTTATCATAATGTTTTCTCCTAACATTCTATTGAGGTGATTCAAAGTGCATTAAAATGAATTCAAATGGCCAAAACTTCACTTCAGATAAATATTTCCAATTCGAACGTTTACTATGTCAAAAAATGAGTTTCAATATTCGACTGAAAATCTAGAATATATCTGTGCGGTTGAGTATTGATTTGTGAAAGTATTTTGATCATATTTCACTCATTTTTAACTTCTAATTGCAGCAAGTTGACCCCCTAACATCATTGAACATTCATCGTTAGGTTTGACACAAATTTTAAATGTGTACACTTTAATCCTCAAACTTTGAATCTTGTCATTTTTCGCCATTTTCACTTCTTTCTTTCAATTTAGCTTCCAATCATCAAGTTTCACCAACTTCTGTTTGATTCATGCCAACATCATTCTTTTCTCCAAATTTTACACCATTCACACCAATTCTCCTAACATATAAAACAATATTAGAACATTATAAAAATTCTTAAAGACAATCAAAATAACAAGTTTATGAGACAATAAAACAATGAGTGAACCATACTCATCAAAGTTGTTGATTTGTGTTGGATTTGAAGAACACTTGAAGGAGTCCATGTTGTAATAAGAAAGGAAAAAATTATGCAAGAAGAAGGAAACGGTGAGCTGACACTCGCTACCCTCCTTAATCCCGCTCAAACGCTTAGACCAAGAGTTTCAGTGATAGCTATCAGCTAGGAGGCCGCTTTCAGCGGCCAGCTATCGCTCGACAGCCATGATCCGAAATTTGAACAGTTCACGATTTTGGCATATTTTTAAATTTTATTTTATCCCTAATACTCCATTATTGTATAAATTTGTTATAATTGAATTTCACTGCATCTTAGTCTTTTCTTTACACTATATATATGAAGAGTAAACTCCTAGAAAAATCAATCCTTACATTCTACATAATAATGTATAATCATCCATTATTGATATTAATAAATCCTCATCTTCCACCCATGGATTTTTTTTCACATAAATCTTGTGTACTTTGATTTTCATATTGCGATAATATTCTCGTCCGTTATTTATTAATCGAGTGGTATCGGTTCAATGCATAATTTTTAACAAAATAATATTACTTTTTACGCAAAAAAGATTATACCATTTGGTTGTTAAACTATTATGTTTATTGACTTTAATCCCCATCAATACAATGGAAAAAAAAATGCTAATTGCAATATCTTGTTTCTTCTTTTTCTAAAGATTGCTTCTACAAATTTTATTTATATTTGAATATCGTTCTCAAATATGGATCTCGTACATATTTGCTAAATTGTGATCTAATTAAACTGATTTCTGGAAATGACTCCTAAACTTCAGATGATGTTTTAGAATTATTTATCATATAAAACTTAAATACATTGTTATCACTATCTTTAAAGACTATTTTTATATTCTCTTATCAAACAGAATAATTATTAAAATAAACTCATTTTTTAAAACAAGTTTTACTCTAAATTTCATATAAATTTAATAGGTACGGCAGTTTGTCTTATGTACGGCCAATACAAGACCAAGTTGCCAGTAAGCTTCAAACCTCATGCAAAACACATTCCTGCCTTAAGCTTACCACTCTCAATCGGCCCCAAACACACGCTGGCATATTTATATTCAAACCCCATGCAAAACACATCCCTGCCTTAATATTTCATTCGATAATTAAATGAACATATTAAAAAATCCAAAGTGAAAATTTTGGTTCTACCAATAATAAATAAAACATGCAGGAAACATATCAAAATAAAATACATTCCAAATAACAAGATCTGTTGACCTCAGAAAACGAACTCAACAAATGCCGGCCCACTCGTGCATGCGTAAGCCATATCACTCCAAAGATTGGACGTGGGAGAAGCTCGACGACACGAGACGCTTCCTTTCGGACTCTGACAGGATTTACGGAACAAGATTGTATAATGATCATTCGATAAAAGAAAGATTTGTAATTGTAATAAATTGATAAAATAATAAGATAGGTTGCTTTGAGTATTTAAAATTTCATTAGTCCTCAATTGTTACATGGTGGGGGGTATTTATAATGTTACAAATGAAATAGTGACCCCTGGATCAAATTACACGTTGACTCATCTCCTCGGCCGAAACATTAGATCCTGGCTATCATATTGACTTTCCTAACTTTACAAAACATTAATTGCCCATACATCGACAAGACAAGACACAAATCCACTGTTCACAAAGGTCACATCAATCATTCGAATAAAGATCTTCATTATGAGCAAATCCATGCACGTGGGCGGTCACAAGTTGGGAGCCTGCAACTGGGCCTCTGCTGATAACATGGCCTCAGATCCAGGAGGTGCCTTAGAAGTGATTGGGCCTCTGATGATGACAGGCCTCGGATAAGGTGGTTGGTTCGGATCAGATCCCATAGTTTAATTCCGATGGCCACGTAGCAGTCCCTAGTGACGAGTCGTAAAAATAGTCCCCCAATTCCATGTGTGATTATTTATATCATGCGTGGGCTTCAGTAATGAAGTTTAAAAGTTTAAAATTTGTGTTCCATCATACTAGTCCACCAAGTCCATGTGTGATTATTCATGTCAGGCATGGAGTTTGAAAAAGTAAAATAAGCCTAGCTTACTTGAGAATAAAAGCGCGTCATGACCAGAGCGTCTACGGATAATAGGATTCAATTGTTGAAATTGAGGCGAGTCCACAGTTGAACTGGCCGAGGCTGAAATGTTTATTGAAGTTGAAATTCATTTTGAAACGGAGGCGAGTGCACAGTTGAACTGGCCGAGGCTAAAATGCTTATTGAAGCTAAAATTCATTTTGAAATGCCTCAGTTCTAAAGTGATGGGGCTCAATGCCGAAGTGAAATTATAAAGTCATTAATGTTGATATTGGTGCACGTGATTTAGCAGTTTCACCTATTTCCAAGGTGGAGCAGCTGTATCGAAACAACTTCCAATACACGCACGGACGTCGCATTAAATGTGCAATGATAGCCAATTATGAGCATGTGTAATTCGTGAGGAGTACTTACGTGCCATGGCCAATACATGAGGCCCACGAATGAATCTGATGCGTTGATATCATAGACCGTTTGAATTCTATGGTTCAGATTGAACGCATATTTGGACGCCTCTAATTAGAAGGTCCTTGATCCAATGGCTGGGATGCAATCCCCTTTGTGTATAAAAACCAAAAACTTGTCATTTTAAAACTTTACTTTTGCAAAATATTCTTCACGTTCTCTCAAGTTTTCTCCTAAGTCTTCGGCAACCAATCTCCGATGAGTCTTCTGAATCTTCATCTATTTAGGTATTTAGGTTCCTACAACTTCTTTTATCTTTTCCCTTCAAATATCCATGTCTTCTGTGGCTTGCATGGCCATTACCGTGGCTAGGTTCACAGGGCGGGAGGGGAGAGTCAGTTTCTGGGAGGTCGGAGGAATGGTATAGTATGGCCGATGAGCTTTTAGATTACGAGGCTGACTGGAGGGCTGCCAAAATCTCATCTTCTATAACCTCTTCCAAATTAGCCGAACTTAGGAAAACCTATAGCATTCCCCATTATATAGAGATGTTAGTTCCCGAAGGCCACGAACGAGCCTGTTTTTCGAGGCCAGGAAGTGTAGCAATCAGTGAATTCCTACTTAAAGCAAGAATGCGTCTGCTTCTGCACCCCTTCTTTAGGGCAGTGTAGAGGAACTTCATGTTGTCGCCCACCCAAATTTTGCCAGACGGGTGTAGCCAGTTAGTTGGGGCCTACTTCCTTTGGAAGGAGGTCTCGTTAGGAGAGGACATACCCCTGCATGTCTTTCAAACAATTTTTTAGAGTCGAGTCGTCGGGAAAGATGACTACAAGGGGTGGTACTACATTACCCTTTGGGGGGCTCACGCTCCTTCGTAGTGGGGTTTCCCACCTCCATAACGGGATGGAAGGAGTCCTGATTCTGGGTTGAGGACATGTGGTAGATGGTTGAGGGAGACGTCATCCCAGCCTGTACT